GTTTAACACTGAGAGACATAATATCACAATGTCAGTGTCCCAATGAAATATATCAGAGTAGATGGTTCCTGAGAGCCAGCGTGATATAGTGGTTTGAGAATTAGACTATGACTGGAGGCCAGAATTTTAATCCCTGCTTGGCCATGGAAACCCACAAGGAGACCTTAAGTGAGTCACATACTCTCAGCCTCAGAAAAGGCAAAGGTAAAGATTAAACCCCTCTGAATAAATCTTGTCAAGAAAACACCATGCCTTTAGGGTCACCATAAGTTAGAAATGACTTGAAGGCACACAACAACAAAGTGGCTCAGTGGTACAATAACTAATTTAAGATCTTGTTCTCTGTTGTTTTTATTGCATCGTTCTAACATGCTTCCACTCTGGGAGTTACTTGTTTGTTTGTTTATATTACCAGAAGAATTGAACCTTCAACCTTGCTGTGTTTTCCTTTGTTTTCAGTTTAGTCATATGACTGTTTCCAGAAATTAAGTGCAGCTTCAAGCTTTCTAAGATTTTCATTCTTCACTTTATAACCTCAGATTTCCAAAGTGAGATTTCCTAGTGATATCCTTTCAAGATATTAATGGGCATGATATTAATTCCTAGACATTTTCCTGATTTCATCTGAAGGAATTTAGATATTACATTCCCAGAAGAATCTGCATTCTCTTATCGTGAAGTCTTCTGCCTGACACCTGTTTATTCTGCTGGCAGAGGAATAAATTTTGTTCCCAGAGAAGAAGCTTAAACCTTTTGAATTCTGAGGTGTTCTGTTCTGTGAAATATAGCCAGTAGCATAAATACAGATGTGGAGAGAAGACTATAAATCTCCACAAGGAGCATAATGTATTCCTTTTTATGAGAGGAAAATGGAAGAGATGAAAATAACAAATAGGCATATAAAGTCATTTTCTGTTTCTGAAAACAAAAAAGCATAAATGAAAATGTAAATTATCATATTTTTTCATCTACTTCCATCTGTTTTAAGCTATGATCATTACATATAGTTGGCTTGGAAAACTGGACTTTAAATTTTCAGGCAGAAAAACAGTGCCTTGTAGCATTGTTCCTAATGTAGACAGTTTGTTTTGAGGTTTGTTTGCTTGGTTGTTTTTTAAAAGTCAGCTAGGTTTTATTAGTTTGTTGTTTTGAGGTTGTCATTTTTTCAAAGTCAATGAGGATTTATTGTGGTTTGACATTATTTGACTGCAAAACACTTTCTTGTAGCTAAGACATCACAGCCATGATCCACATATCTTTAAAATTGAAGTGAAACAGCTCTCTGATATAATGTTGTTGTGTAACTCTTCGGTGCTGTCCAACTTAAGGTAATCCTAAGGAAAACTTACCATGAGGTTTTCTTGGCAAGATTTGTTCAGAGAAAGGGGGGTTGCAGACTGCTGAAATAGTGCAAATTGAGTCCACTTTTAGGGTTAGGGTTAGTGCTAGGGAATCATGGGAATTGTTTTTTGTTTTTTGTTTTTGAGACATTGAGCCTTCTCTGTCAGAGAGCTCTGGTGCCACAATAAAATACAGTTCCCATGATTCCCTAACCCTAACCCTAACCCTTAAAGTGGATTCAATTTGCACTATTTCTGGCAGTCTGCAACCCTCCAAAGTTTGGCATTGCCTTCCTCTGGTGCTGAGAGAGTGTGACTTCCCCAAGTCACCCAATAAACTTCCATGACCAAACAGTGATTTGTACCCTGGTCTCCCAGCAGTCAAACTACTACATCACATTGGCTCTCACTATAGAGGTATATCACCTAGGTTTTGCCCTCTGGATGTTTTGGACTTCAGCTGCAAAAATCCTTAATCGTGGTGGTGCTGGCTGGGCTTGTTGTTGTTGTTGTGTTCCACCAAGTCATTTCCAACTAATGGTTACCCTAAGGCGAACCTATCACAGAGTATTCTTGGCAAGAAGCATAAATGAAAATGTAAATTACAATTTTTGTATCTACTTCCATCTGTTTTAAGCTATGAGCATTACATATAGATGGCTTGGAAAACCTTTAAATTTTCAGACAGAAAAACAGTGCCTTGTAGCATCATTCCTAATGTAAACAGTTTGTTTTGAGGTTTACAGGGATCTTACCATTGCCATCGATGGCTGACCGGAGATGAAATCCCAAGCAAACTGGAGGGCTAAAAATTGAGAGCTGCAAGACCTGACCATCATGTCACATATGACAGCAACACCCATCAACAACCTGCATGCATGAATATGGACCATCTCAGACAGAATATTTTTGTTTGTGCTTTCAATTCTTTTTTTTTTATATATATTTATGGTAACCCCATGAATTTCATAGGAGTTTCCTAGGTAAGAAATAGTCAGTGGTGGTTTTGCCAGCTCCTTCCTCTAAAATGTAGCCTATAACAGTATCTGTTGTTTTGTGGTAGTCTCCCATCCAAGTACTAACTAGGCCTGACCTTGCTTACCTTCCAAGATCAGATAGCTACAGACTAAACTCTCATCCTATCTTCCAATTGTTTTTTCTTAAAGTGTAGTTAGTTTATGCTTTCAGCTATTTGGGACTTATTTACACATAGCTGTTCATTGCTGATGACTGCATCAACTGGTGATGACACACGTGTGTGAATGAGCTATTCTAGGGATAAAACACTACAGATACAACTTGCATTTTACATCATCTCAAACACAATGCTTTGAGATGCAGTCTGTTCACACATTAAGCTACTCCTCATCAAGTGCCAGATATTGTGATCTGCATCCAAGTGTGAGTCAACCATGAAGACTCTTAATATATGAACCTGACAACCTGTATTGAAGAGCACTTTTTTGAAAGTGATATATCTGTGGGATGCAAGCCAGGAAATAGGTCTATAACTGGAAAGTTCTTTGAGAGCAAACCATTACTTCTCAGATCTCGAAATTAAATGATGACAAATAACTAGTTATTTGCAAATAATTCTGTTTTCATGGTTTACACCATGAGCCAGAGTGGTGTAGTGGTTTATGTGTTCCACTAGACACTGGGAGACCAGGTTTTGAACCCTCAATCAGCAATGGAAACCCACTGGATAATCTTGGGCAAGTCACAAACTCTCAGCCTCTGAGAAAGGCAAAGGCAAACCCCCTCTAAACAAATCTTGCCACAAAAACCCTGTGATGAGTTCACCTTAAGGCTGCCATAAGTCAGAAATGACTTGAAGCAACAGCAACAACCATATTGTAACTTAATAACATAATTCATTTTGCTGTGCAGCAGGAACTTTTTAGTTACTTTTACAGGTATGGAGGCATGGCTTTATTAAATATTAAAAGAATATAATCACACGTTTCATTTACAGGTGTAAGCTGTGCCTTGTTTTTCATTCTCCAGTGTGGTTGATGTGGGAGGGACAATGAGGTGAATGGGAAGAGAGTATGACTTTCACCACAGATCAGCAACTTATAAGTAAAAGCTAACCATTTTAGTTCCCTTTGAGAACAGAAGAAAATGCCAGGCAGAATTCAAGGTGTTTGTTATGACCTATAAAGCCCCCTATATCAGGGGTTCCCAACTTGGGGTGCTTGCACTCCCAAGGGATGCAAGATAGAATTTCAGATGGTGCAACAAAGAGTGCTTTGTGTCCTGTCATCACTCAATTTTTCTGAATAAATCAAAATCTAACTGATCAATTTAGATTTGCCTTTTATGTACAAAGTTAAAAGCTTTTTTTTTAATTGAAAAATTGCTAGCTGTGTTAGTCTGGAAAATCAGTATGCAAAGGGATCTTGCAGTACCTTTGAGGCTAACTGTATGATAGAAATTCATGTTACCAACATCTATCTTTCATTTATTTATTTATTTAAGTTCAGTTTGTTCATCCACAAGTATTATATGTAGTTTGATTTGTGGTTCAAAAATTAGAAATTAGACATATTCATCTTCAAATATGAGATTCCATTTTAAGGGGGTGCAAACATGAATCAAACATTTTCTAGGGGGTAGGGCATAGAAAAGGTTGGGAACCACTGCCTGGTACAGTATAGACCCAAACTATCTGAAAGATAGTATACATTAAGGAGACTATCTGAGACTGTATATATTGATGAGAAAATGTCAGAAAGTGATCAAACAACCAAAGCAAGGTAGAGACATGCTGAAGTTTGGTTAACCATAGAAAATGTTGCAAGTTCTTAGGAATCCCTTACTCTCAAAAAGGCAAGTTAAACATGCATTCTGACTCATGTTTTGAGATATCTTGATGCCTTCTGCTACTATCAGCTAGAATACCAGTGTAGCTTGCAAGAACATGTCTGATATCCATTAGTTAATTTATGTGGCTGACATAGCCTTTTTGTTGATTAAGTCCTCTTGGACTGCTGCCACAATGGAGATATAATGCAGTTTGACACCACTTTAACTGCCATGGCTCCATCCTATGGAATCTTGGGATTTCTAGTTTGTTCTGGCACCAGAGCTCTTGGAGAGAGAAGGCTAAATATCACACAAAACTAAAAATTTCAGAATTCCAAAGCATTGAGCCATTGTAGTTAAAGCAGTGTCAAGCTGGATTAATTAATTAATTCTGGAGTATTTGTGGCAAAATGGTTGCGACTACAAAAAAAAAATAGCAGTCTCTACTGGTGGCCCCTTAAATGCCCTAGAATGTTACTGTACCTAGGGGCTATACGAAAAAGTAAAATATTTTCCGTTGCTTCTGCTATAGCCAAATAGCCAAAACAAACCACTTAAAATGTGGGGAAAGAAGTGCATCAAAACAGACTCCATACAAATTATGGTGAAAGTCATTTCTTCCCACAATGAAACATGAAATGGATGTGATTTTTTAAAAATAGAAAACACTATATCAGGGGTAGGCAACCTTTCCCCTTTAAGGGCCGAGGGACTTCAGCTCCCAGAATCCCAGGAGCTATTGGCCAACATGGGACTATTGGCCAACATGGCTGAGGCTTCTGGGAGCTGAAGTCCCTTGGCCCTTAAAGGGGAAAGGTTGCCTACCACTGCACTATATGCTTAATTCTGAGAGGCAGTGTAGCATAATGGTTGGAATGTTGGACTAGGACTCTGGAGACCAGGATTTGATTCCCTGCTCAGCCATGAAACCCACTGGGTTATCTTGAGCTAGTCACAAGCTCTCAGCCTCAGGGGAAAGCAATAGCATACCTCAGGGGTCGGCAAGATTTTGAGACCTGGGGCTGGCTGCTGGTCCCCAGGTCTTCCACTGGGTTGAGGGGAATTGCGGCGTGCACGCTCGCACGTGCGTGTGTGTGCAGTACTTCGGAAGTACTGCGCATGTGCACGCATGCACACTCGTGCATGCACAGTACTTCTGGAGTACTGTGCATGCGTGATCGAGCCACGGCCGCCATTTTGGCAAACAAAATGGCGGCTGCGACTTGTTTGCACATGCGCAGTACTCGGTGCATTCGCAAACGAGTCACAGCCACCATTTTGTTTTCCAAAGTGGCAACCGTGGCTCATTCACGCATGCATAGGATTACCGCACATGCACAAATGAGTTGCAGCCTCCATTTTGAAAAAACAAAATGGTGGCTGTGACGCACACGGCGGCAGCGCAGCGGTAGCATGCACGGCAGCAGTGGGGGCCAGTGGTGACTGGTCCAGAGGCCTCGGGGGGCCACACTCGGCCCCCGGGCCGTAGGTTGCCGACCCCTGGCATACCTCCTCAGAACAAATCTTGCCAAGAAAAACCCATGATAAGTTGCCATAAGTTGGAATTGAATTGAAGGCAACAATAATCAATTCTGCCCCCTAATCCTGCCTCCAGTACAAGGCTCACCTTATAGTGTACTTTCTTTCCCCACCTCAGTTTCCTCTGCTACATGAAAAACTAAACTTGGAAAGATTAGTTGTCCCTCTACCCATGTTGCTGAAAGGATTCTGGGAGTTGTAGTTTGTCTCTAGGTACTTCTGTTGAGTCACAGAACTGTGACTTAACAATGAACTGCTGGACCCTAAAAGAAAGATAAGCAACTGTATGGGGCAGGCACCAATTCTTCCCGCAGCCAACTCACATAGCAAGCCCAATACCTCCATTATGCTGTGTGATCCCTCTCAAAATGGGAACAGAAAGTGACTTCACATTCCATCATTTCCTGTAGCCCAGTTTGAGAGCGACCACAGAAGAAAAGGGAGGTATTGGAAGGTAAGCACAGGGTTCTGGAGTGCTTGTGTGGTTTCGTTTGCCATGTAATTTTCATACCTTTTCATGCATTTTGGAGGGCTTTCTGAATGATTTGGGAGCAAAAGGTTCCCAAAATGGGGGCAATAGAGGACTTTGAGGAACTGTTGGCCACAAAAGTGAAGGGCAGGAGACCGTGTCAAAGAGACACAGTTGCCTTGAAGCCTATTTTGGGAGAAAGGCAGGATACAAATCCCATAAATAAATACAAATAAATAAAGATGTAGCCTGTGGGCTGCACTGTAGCCACCCCTGGCCTCAAACAAGTTTTGCTCTGGTAAGCTCAGAGCTTTGCTCTACCCAGACACATGTAGCAATTCACTTCCACAACCAGTACAGGAGATTCAATACATGATAGTGGTGAGGAGAACATCTGGCTGTCATCTTCAGGAGTTGGTGGGTCCAATGTCAAATGGAGAGAGATTTGTTTTTGATCCTGTCCCATAGCTTTCATTGATTAAACCTCTTTGCTTTCTCTCCCTGAAATCAAGAGAGACCCTTCCACTTTTGTGGGGAGACTGTAAATGCATCCATAACAGCCCCCCCCCCATTGGGCTTTTATTTCCTAATTAAATAGAGAGGAAGAAAACAAGAATTAAGCTGATCACATCCACTGCTGTCACTGCTTTATTCTGTCAAGCCACATCATCAAAATGACTATAAAGTTAATGGGTTAAGTGAAGAAAAATATATTTTAGACAGTTGGGAATGGCAACAAAAGAAGGGGAAAAAGCACACATTGCAAAATGAGTCAGATGCAGTAATTATTTATCATCTGCTCACATCATGAAAATTCAGAAACAGAAAGGAATTTTCAATTAACTGGTCATGCACCACTTGCTTATGGCCATGTTTCATAATCAACCCAATACAAATTTTGTTTGCCTGCTGTTTATGATCCATGTGACTTTAAGACTAATGTCAAAATGAAACCCAAATAAGAGACCAGAGAAAAGGAAGAAAGGACAGTAAAGTCAAGCTCATGCTGGGCAACAGAATGGAAGAAATCCAATGTCACACAAGTAGTCTTCTGTTCATGCAGTGGAAACGTCTCTCACTCTTCTGCTGCTCCCAGCACCTCACCCCAATCTGCTCTAAGTGTCTTCCTAACCCTCTGCAGCAGATTTTGAAGTTGGAATTGCCTCCTTTTTGTTCCACATATGGAACAATCTTTATCAGTGGGAGAAATGTGTGACTATAGCCCAAGAATGCAAGTCTACTGAATGATACCAATTTTGCATGTGGCAAAAGTGTATGCCTTGGATATTTGGATATTTTGCAGTTAAGCTTACGTAGATGGAAAATAGTGTTGTACAAATCACTCTTTTCTCAGACAACCCTGTGGAATATCCCTCAACCATCTTCTAATACTGTTTCATGCACAGAAAATGCTGTTTTTTGAGCAAAAATGCTGTGTGTGAATCTTGCACAGATTAAGCCCCAAATTGTGAAGTTTTCAAAAATTGTGCTTTTTTGAAGAGGTGGTTGTTGTTGTTGTTTTGTAGTGGGAAGTACATTTTTAAAGTTACTTGTTGCTTCCGTTGACAATAAAATTAGCAAAGATCTCTACTTAAATCGGAAGATAGAACAAGAATCTCATGTATGCTGCCTATCCTGTCCTCCTTAGAAGAAGGGTGGGGGATATACCACAACATTGTGTGAGGGGAAAAAAATATTTATACAACACTTTTTCACAATCTGTGCAAGCTTGACTACATAAAACCAATATTCCCTGAGGCATACATGTTTGCTACATCCAATTACTAAACCAGCATCATTCAGGAGACTTGCACTCCTGTATTGCAATTTAAAGCTGTGCAGAAAATGATTTTTCCAACACAGATAAAGATGTTGATGTTGATAAAGATGTTGAATACTATTGGGCCCAGGACAGAACCCTGTGGCACCCCAGTGGTCATTTCTCTCCAGGATGAAGAGGAGCCATTGCTGAGCACCCTTTGGGTTCGGTCAGTCAACCAATTACTAATCCACCTAACAGTTGTATTGTCTAGCCCACATTTTAATCTTGTTTGCAAGAATATCATGAGGAACCTTGTCAAAAGCCTTACTGAAATCAAGATATGCTATGATTACCACATTCCCTTCTTCTAGCAAGCTGGTAATTTTATCAAAAAAAAGAGATCAGATTAGTCTGGCATGACTTGTTTTTGAGAAACCCATGTTGACTTTTAGTGATTATGGCATTCCCTTCTAAATATTCACAGACTCTCTGTTTAATGAACTGTTCTAGAATCTTTCCTGGTATTAATGTCAGACTAACTGGCCGATAGTTGTTGGGATCCTCTTTTTTCCCCTTTTTGAAGATGGGGACAATGTTTGCCCTCCTCCAGTCTGCTGGGACTTCTCCTGTTCTCCAGGAATTCTCAAAGATTATTGCCAGTGGCTCTAAGATCACATTTGCCAGTTCTTTTAATATCCTTGGATGTAGTTCATCTAGTCCTGGAAACTTAAATTCATTTAGGTTAATCAACAGAGTCGGTGTCTTAACCACTTGAGCCACTGCATCCCATTTACATAATTTCCATAACTTTAAAGTGAATGAAGACATCAAAACATTAAATATGTTTTATATCTTGCCTCAGTTATTAGTCATAATGGAGAGTGTAGTCAAGAAATCAGAAGAAAGTTAAGATTTGGAAAGGCAACTGTGAAGGACCAAGACAAGATCTTAAAGTGTAAAGACATATAATTGAATAACATAGTTAGCTGGCCCAAGCCATTGTATTTCTGATTTCTTTGCATGGTTATGAAAACTGGACAGTGAAGAAAACTGATAGAAAGTGAATCAGCTCATTTGAAATGTGGTGCTGGAGGAGAGTTCTATGGATATCATGGGCCAAATGAATTAACTCAAGCACGAACTCTCCCTAGAAGCCAAGCTGACTAAAGTGAGACTGATGTACTTTGGACGTATCATGAGAAGACATGACTCACCAGAAAAGGCAATGATAATTGATTAGGTAGAAGCCAGTAGACCATATTACACATGGATGGAATCAATCAAGGAAGCCGTGGCCCTGAGTTTGCAAGACCTGATAATAGGGTGACTTGGATATCTCTCATTCATAGGGTCACCATAAAACTGATTTGATGGAAGATAACATCAGGATTTTCTGTGCATGTTTTTTATTATTATTTTAAAGCAAAATTCCTTGGTCTGGTATAAACTCAAGAATAACAATGTAGCCATAACTGGGGGGAAATCTGTACTTGCAGTAGCTGCATAAGTAGCCAATATTTTGCCACATATATTATTAAAGTCTTAAACATATTTAACCAGATGAAATTGATTTCAGTGGTGTTGGAGTATTATCATCAATGCTTGTGTGCAGTTCTGTTTTTCCTTGAGAAGGGGTGGTGTCTTCTGCACAGGAACACTGTCTATCTCTATGGTCATTTGGCCAGTGTGCTTGGGAAGAGGTCACTTTCCATACCACTCCTCTTCATGGGGGGATTATAAAGTTTTATGATTCTTTGCTCTCCCCAGACTCCTCTCTCTCTCTCTCATAAGCATGGATGCAGAAACCAGGCTGTGCTACTAAGATGTTTTTCTTCTTACTTACACACATGGAGGTCAACTATTTAGGGACCTCTGTACCAAAGTATAGTTTTTCTACTTATTAGTTATTTCTGTAGAGCCTAGATGTAACAATAAAATAAGTTTCTTTTTACCTACTAATGTATCCAGTTTATTTACCAGAAGTCCATATCTAGCCCTTTTACCAAATACCTGTAGAGTACACACTTATTGCTGTGTTGCTGCTGCTGCTAATAAACTTCTCTTTAACCAAAAACAACCAAACCATAATTCTAACAAATGGTACTTACTATAAGGTGGGCCTTCCTGAGATGGCAGCCCCAGACCCAGTTGTAT